ATAGTTGCGTTGAAACCCACACCGCTTGTTGCAGCACGCCCAGCGAGAGAAATCTCCCATGTGCGCAGCGTGGCTGGTGGCAAGGGCGTGCGGGCTGAATCCGCAGTTCTGAACCGATGAAAGTGAGGAGACTGATGGGGTCGCGAACCCCAGGCCAAAAAAACTCGTGTCCTTGAGCGAAACGCCTACGGACTTGAGCCAAAATGGCTACGGACTACTACCTGCGCCTCCTCCTCCTCCTCCTCCTCCTCCTCCTCCTCCTCTTGCTCCGTTCCACCTCCTCACATTCCTCCTCCTCCTCCTCCTTCGCATTCCCTTCTCCTCCCTCCTACTCTTGATCGTCCTCTTACTCCTCATCCCTCCTCCTCTCTCGCATTCCTCTTCTTTCGCTTCCTCCCCTCTCCTCTCCCTCTGGGAAAGAAGACCGGGCTATCCCTATAACTGGTCATAGGGGCCGCAATCACATGGCAGATGGAGTCAGGCTTGCTACCCTTCAGCCTCCCCCTTCCCGATTCTTGGCGCTCTTGCTCACGGGACGAAGGTCGCATATCGAACCGCAAGGAGTTGGCTGAGGATGGTGAGGAGAACGAGGATGAGTCAAAGTGTTGCTATATCGTAGTGCCCAAACCCTCAAGGGCCCAGAGCCACTGCAACGCCCTGGCCAGCGGGCAGGGCTGAACAAGACGCATTAACAAGAATCGATAACGTTCACCAGCCACCCGCAACAGACACGCAAGTCCCATTAGGATGCGAATCTGCCAGACTGGCATGATAAGAGACGAGTCCTGGTGGAAAAGTGTCGTGGATCCCCAAACCTTCCCCCGAGATCGACTTTCATCCCGAACCGTGTGTGGACGGCCCCAAGGGCCAACGGGAACCCGACAACTGGGCTGCTGCTGATGATGCCGCTGCTGATGATGCTGCTGATGATGCTGCTGACGATGATGCTGCTGCTGATGATGCTGCTGCTGCTGACGACGAGGATACTGATGATAATGCTGATGCTGATGCTGCTGCTGATGATGATGGAAGGAGCAAGAGGAATATGAGGATGAAGAGGGGGAGAAGGAACGGGAAGGGAGCGGCGAAGAGAGAAGATGATATGAGGATGAGGGTGAGGATGAAGATGCTGATGATGATGGTGGTGGTGGTGATGATGATGCTGATGATGACGATGCTGACGATGATGCACATGATGTTATGATGATGTTGGTGATGGTGATGGTGATGGTGATGGTGCTGCTGCTGCTGATGCTGCTGCTGCTGATGATGATAGGTGATGATGCTGCTGATGCTGCTGCTGACGACGACGAGGAGGATACTGATGATACTGCTGATGCTGATGCTGATGCTGCTGCTGCTGCTGATGAAGAAACGGAACACTAAGACGATAAGGATGAAGAGAGGGAGAAGGAACGGAAGGGGGAGGAGCGGAGGTACTATTATAAGAGGATGAGGATGAGGATGAAGATGATGAGGATGAGGATGATGAGGGTGATGAGGATGATGATGCTGCTGCTGATGATGCTGATGATGATGCTGATGCTGCTGCTGATGATGCTGATGATGAGGATGATGCTGACGAGGAGGAAGAGGAGAAGGATGGGGAGGAGGAGAAAGATGAGGAGAAGGAGGAAGATGATGAGGCGGAGGAAGATGGGAAGGATGATGAGGAGGAGGGGAAGGAGGAGCAGGAACAGGAGCGGAGCAGGAGCAGGAGGAGGAGGTGGAGGAGGAGGAACAGGAGGTGAAGGGTGGCAAGATGAGGAGGACGAGGCGGAGGATGGTGATGATGAGGATGAGGAGGAGGAGGGGGAGGAGGACGAGGAGGACGAGGAGGAGGAGGAGGAGCAAGAGGAGGAGGAGGAGGCGGAGGAGGAGGAGGAAGAGGGTGATGATGAGAAGGCGGAGGTGGAGCGTGGCAGGAGGAGGAGGAGGAGGAGGAGGAGGAGGAGGAGGAGGAAGAGGGTGATGATGAGAAGGCGGAGGTGGAGCGTGGCAGGAGGAGGAGGAGGAGGAGGAGGAGGAGGAGGAGGAGGAGGAGGAGGAGGAAGAGCAACAAGCTGCCACACTGCTCAGCTCTGGTCTCCTTCATCCCGCGCTCGATCGCCGTGGTGCTGATGTAGGACTGCGGGCCCCTCCCTCCACCCCCTCTTCCTTCACTCCTCTCCCCCCTCTTCCGCCATTCCTTCCCTCCCAACTCTTCCTCCTCCCCGACCCAGGCCATCCGGGCCCAAGGGAGTGGTAGCTTTGCCAGCTTCTACCGCCTGGCGCAAATCTCGACGCTCGGTGTGCTCGGCTGGGGCCGGGCCTGCGGGTCGAGGATGCGGAATGCAACGCGACACTGGGTCTCGAGAAAACCAAACGACGGCATCACCAGAATTTCTCAGAGGCCCGCGCTGATTTCTTGGATCGGCGCCGGGACCTCCTACCTGGCGGCGCGTCAGACACAGTCATGCTCGTGCCTTTTTTGTTTATTCGGGGCTCGAGGAAGGAGGAGGAGGAGGAGGGGGAGGAGGAGGAGGAGGAGGAGGAGGAGGAGGAGGAGGAGGAGGAGGAGGAGGATGAGGAGGAGGAGGATGAGGAGGCGGAGCGCAGCGCAAGATCGGGTCGGGCAGGGCGCCGCGCGCGTGCCCCGGCAGCGTGCACGAGGGCTCCCCTGGGTGCGGCGGCGCGGCCGCGGCCTCTCGTCGGCGCCATTTATCCGCAGGGGACGTCGCTTTCAGGGAGCCCGCAGGGAGAGCCACGCAGCATGCAAGGCGGTTTTTCCATAGGTCGCCAGCCGAGCAAGTGCGACGCTCTTGCTAATCTCTTGACTCCGAGACGTCCAGCAAGCCTCCAGGAGCCCGCCACAAGCTCCAGGAAGCTTTCAATTCGCCCAAATCAGGCCCCAAGAGTCCCCCCCCAAAACTCCCAAACCGCCTCCAAGAGGCCTCCGAGACGCTCCCTCATATCCCCACAAACATCCAATAAGCCTCTGACCTACACTTACGGCACGGTAGTGGGATGCGCCACTCGTAATCTTGACACACACATGCTGTATTCAGATCGCCTGCAAATTTAGTACACAACGTTTTACGTGTCAGTGCTGCCTGTCGAACCTGTTGGAGACGCGGACTGGTCCTTCCGATTCCACGTGTAGCGCTTCATGTCGGGCGAATTCGCACTTTCAAGGTATGCGGCAATAGAGATGTGATCAAACCGTCCACGAACATCGTTAATCAAAAACATTGACTTGGCTGCTGGAGCACACACGTACCGTCTCTGAGTGCGCCCTTGGGCGTGTCTGGAGAGTGCAACGTGGTTCAAGCATGGGGCTCCTCCATTTGGGGCCCGTTGCGGAGGCTGCTTTTGAAAGCCTCGTCGAGCGAAGCTGGGCGACCAAACATACGGTGATTGATCAAGAACACTGCATCTGGTCTTACTTCAGATTTGAAAGCGATCTTATTGTTGTGGTGAGGCGGAACATCTAAGTTCCTGACAGCATGTCGCCTCATCGATGTCTCGTCCAAATGCAACAATATACTTGGGCCATTTTCGATGATACATTTGAGAACGTGTCAGCGTGCGACATTGAATGCCCACACATGCGCATGGTAGGATCTGAAGAGCACCGAACACCAAGGCTCGGACCAGTCCGATTCTGGATCACGCTTCTGGGTAACCACGGTTGTTACATGTTGGCCCCTGGGGCCGGGGGTTCTTGAAATTGCAGCTCCAGTTGTGTGGTCCAGGATCGCGGCCACGTGGCAGAGCAGAGCATCGAGCGTTTCAAGTTGCAAGGTGACTCTCCTATGCTGCTCAATTTCCTGGAAGCGATTGACCTCGACGCCCCTATAGTCAAAGCAGTCTGGGCGGGTCCGCGTAGCTCGGACAACACGTGGCTAACTACGGACTTCCATCCAATACTAGAACGTGGCCTGGTCAAATGACTTTTCCCGTCCGAAACACGTCTAGACAAACTTACCAACGATACGTCCGCATCAACTTCCGCAGTGGGCATATTATGTTTGCAAGACGCTGCATGCGTATGCCGTGGGTCGGAAGGCTGGGGTGCCAGAGGTGGACCGTCCCGTTGCTGTCTGAATTCGGGGAGGCGCCAGCGCCGTCCCCCCGAATGGGTCTGGGCCACGCATTCCCCTTCCCATCTCACTTGGAACCTTTTTGCCTCTCAAAGGTTTGCGAGGGCGTGAGCCAGTGCCAGGGTCCAGCCCCCCTGGCCACGAGAGAGGCAACCAACTGCTTGAACTCGCTGTGCAAGGCAATGTCGGCCGCACCCTTTCCGTGCCATTCCTCCTCCTCCCCGCTTCCCTTCCCCTCGCCGCCCTCTCGTTCGCTCTCCTGCCCCTTCCCTCCCTGCCCCCTCCTCCTTCACTCCTTCCCCTCAGCGCGCTCTTTCCCCTCCTCTGGCCTCCCTTCCCCGCTTTCCATCCCTCCCTGGCCTCACGCCTCTTTCCTCAGGGAGCAAGGGAGGGATGGAGGGAGAGAGGGAGGGAGGGAGGGAGAGGGGAGGAGGAGGAGGAGCAATGAGAAGGGAGGAACAGTAGGAGGAGGAACAGTTCAGAGAAGAAGGACGGACGGGGCAAGGAAAAAAGGAAGAAACAGGAGAGAGATTGTAGGGGCGTGAGTGCGGCCCAGAAGAGGGGACCAGCGTCCTCCCTCCCCTTCTCTTCTGCTCCATCCAAACTGCTGCGCCTCCCAACGCTTCCACCTCCCCCCCTGAAGCTCTCTGATCCTCCTCCTCCTCCTTCCTCCTTCTTTCCCTGCTCTTCCTTCCTTCTCCTCCGAATTGTTCCTCCTTCTACTCCTCCTCCCTTCTCACTGCTACTCCTCCTCCTCATCCTCCTCCTCCTCCTCCTCCTCCTCCTCCTCCCCTCTCCCTCCCGCCCTCCCTCTTACCCTCTTACCCTCTTACTTACCCTCTTACCCTCCCTCCCTCCTCCTGCTTCCCGTCCTCCTCGCGGCCTCAATGCGGCTCGCCGCGCCATTCTCCATGTCCTTCATGGCCTGCTTGGCGGCCGCGTCCTGCCGGTGCGGCGGCAGGGGGCGACGAGGCAGGCAGGCAGGCAGGGAGCGAGCGAACGGCGCCAATGTCAGGCACGCGGATGTGCCGGTGCCCGTTCGGGCAAAGGCGCGCGGGGCCGCAGCCTGTAGCCCCGTGTCGTGCTCCGGTGAAGCCGCCCATGGGCGGGCCCGCCAAGGAGCAGGAGGCAGGGAAGAGCGGGTGCACAAGCTGGTGCACGGGCAGGAGGGAGGCACGAGGAGGCAAACGAGGAAGAGTCGACCGAGGCGGTGAAGTGCCTCGTGGACCAGCACGCCAAGAAGCGGGGGGCGGGGAAGAGCGCACCCCAAGAGATAGTGTGGCCTCAAGCGGTGACTGTTCGGACTCCGAGGGGCGACGAATATTGCCTCTCTCCAGGGGAGCCCCACGTCGGCCTAAAGGATAGCTCAGGCGAGCCTGCGAACATGTAGGGGTGCACGAGCTGGTGCACGAGCAGCAGGGAGGCAGGAGGAGTCAAACGAGGCGGAAGACATCCTCCCTGACCCTCCGTGGCGATGGGAGATCCCGATGAAATAGCGTGCGGTCCTGGACAGCACAAGGCCATGGAGGGACCCACCACGCGAACGTCTTGTTTGCGAAACATTTGTTTTGGGCACCTAACATTTTTTGATAGCGACGGCGTCCATCATCTGTCCTGGCAGGTAGGAACTACTGGAGGCTCTCGCACTTGCTCTGTGTGCTGCCGTCTAAGCCGAGATGGTTGGCAGAGTGCCAGCCATTTTGGGCATCGCATGCCCTCCTGCCTCTGAGCCATTTGTCGGGGCGCCATGACTTCACGAGCTCGTTCCCGCTGCTCCATCTGAACTCCTTGGGCCCGTCCTGAACGTTCTGACGATAGCAACACTTCGCCAGAGACTCGTACTCCGCGATGGTGCGCAAGACGGTAGTGCCACGCATCCCGTTGCTTTTCAGCCGCCCCCAGCAGCCCGCATCCTTCACGGATAGGAGGAAGAGGAGGAGGACGAGGAGGAGGAGGAGAACGAGGCGGAGGGGGAATGGCCCACTTCCTGCTTCTGCTCCGTGGAGTATGGAATCATGAACTCTGGGGTGTAGCGTGGGAAGTCGTCCAAGCACGACTCCAAAGTGCACTTCTCCTGAAAGAAGACTGATAATGAGGATGAGGAGGAGGAGGGGGAGGACGACGGGGAAGAGGCTCCTTGCACTTCTCCGGATCCCACGATGAGTCGCAATCTTCCTCGCATGCGTCTTCGAACGCGGGGCAGATCTCCCGTTCAACTGGCTGCAGAAATGTCTGATGATCCACCTTTGTTGAACGAACTTGTTCGTGTGCGTCTGTCAACCTGTTTGCGTAACGAGCCAAATTAGTATACCCCAGCCAGAAGTCTCGACACATGTCCTTCGTGTAATCTCCACTGTGCGTCATATTCCTGCACGAGCAATGCACGTACGTGGGACAGAATACGTTCTCTTCGTTCGGATTGTCCTGCTGCCTCTGGGTACCGTCCGCTGTGAATGTCCGAGGCTCGCACTCCCAACCGTTGCCCGACATGCCGCTGCAGATGATCGGGTAGGTGGTGTTCCTCAAGGCTGCGCACCCCCGATCGGGGGGCTCGTAGTAGACACCACCGCCCGATCCGTGCCTCAGTCCACCTGCGGCCAGAAGTACCCATATGAGAAACAGGAAACACAACACAAACATAAACTTATGCAGGTCCGCGCAGATTTCTTGGATCGGCGCTGGACCCACTCGTGCGCCATGGACGGCGCCAATCGTCCAGCGCAGATCCAAGAAATCCGCGCGGACATCCGACAGTTCATGCCTATGCAGTTGTTTCTTCTTCGGCATATGCTGGAATCCTGCGTCTGTTCATCCGCGGCCTCCATCTGCGCTTCGACGCGCGCCAGATTGCTGCGCGCGCACTCGCCCACTCTTGCCATGGACAGGAACGCCGACAAGAAGACTGCATGCCTCATTATCCCAGCTTGGAGAGCAAGCCAAAGTTCCCAGAGAGGCCCAAAGAGAAGCGCAATATTTCCGCCACCATGTCCTTGACAAGTCAGGATGCAGTGTGATGCCTGCTGTCGTGTGGATTTCTGTAGTTCCCAACCGTCCTGTGGTGGGTTTCGGGGCCGAATCCCCGCCTGCGTTTCAAAAGTTTTTGTTTTGTGGGGGGCGGGGCGCGTCGTCACCTTGCTGCTGGTATCGTCGCGGTATGCCAGCTGTGCTTTTCCTCGGCGTTGCTTCCCCTCTCCCCTCTCTCTCTCTCTCCGCCGTCATCAGCCTAAACATCAGCCTAAGCCTAGCCGAAGCCTCAGCCTAGCTGAACTTACGCTCCAGCCACAATTTAGCCGAAACCTGGCCTAAGCCTAAGTCTCAGCTTCAGCTTCAGCCTGACCTCAACCTCTGCTCGGCCTCAGCCTCTGCCTCGGCCTAGCCCACGCCTGGCCTAAGCGTAAACCTCAGCCTCTGTCTAGCCGAGGCTCCAGTCTAAGCCTAAACGCCAGCCTCCGCCTAGCCTAAGCATCAGCCTGAGCAGCCTAGCCGAAGCCCGTCCTAAGTCTCAGCCTAGCCTACGCCTCAGTCTAAACCTCAGCCTCGGCCGCCGCCTAACATAAGGCGCTACTCGTACAGTTCTTGAGTGCTGCTGCTGCAATGCTACTGCCCCCGTGCTGTACTACGACTATTACAGTGCATCCCTACAACACAATACTATTACACTACTATAACCGCGCTGCAATAGTACGGCATTTGGTAATTCATATCACAGTACTGTGATACACCCACTGCAGACAATCGTACAACACTGCCCGTACGAATGCTGCACTCAAATCCTGCTCTACACTGCAACTGCTTACGTACAGCACGATTCCACAATCGCGCACCACTTTTCTTGCATCGCTACCACTAAGCCACTACAGCTCGAGGGTACTACTGCTGCGCTCGAGTACTGCAGTCGTGGACCACTTCTATTACACTACGACAGTGCGACTGCTACAGCAAGTGCTAGACTGTAATCTTTATTGCGAGATCTGAATACTACCGCTGCAACTACAAGACTACTACCGTGCTGTCACTTCATAAATGCAACACGACTACTGGCTTAGTACGGTACCGAAGTACAACACCATTGCAATACTACTGCTCCAGTATTGTACTACGACTCGTAAATCGTCACCACAACAGCACTGCAGTATTATAATACGAGAGCGATGCTGCGATACGGCGGATTATTTCCATTCCAATGCAATCGTACACTTGCTGCCGGCAGCCGTAGCATACTGCTCATACGAATAATGAGCTCGAATACTGGTTCTACAATGTCACTGCTACAACAATACAGCGTTACTCCCAATAGTGTAGCGCCCTTCGTACAACACTACCGCTAGAACGTCAGAGTTCGAGGATGCTGCGACTGTGCTCGAGCACTGCAGTCGTGGACTGCTTCTACTACAATGCGACAGTGCGGCGGCTACTACAGCAAGCACTCGGATCTGACCTTTACTGCAAGGCCTGAATACTAGTACTACTGCTGCTACTGCTACTACTACAAGTATTACTACTACCATTATTATTACTACTACAACGACAAGGCTACTACAGTGTTGCCGCTTCATACATGCAATACTACTATTGGCTTAGCACGGTATCAAAGTATCGCCAATCCAGTATTAGCGTACCACTGCTGCAATACTACTGCTATAGTACTGTTCAACGGCTAGCACAGTGCCACCGCTACATCACCACATTATCAGCAAACGGCAACAATGCTGCAGTGCGGCGGCGTTGGGGGTATTCCTGCTGCAATACTGTAGCGCACCCATTGCAAATACTCGGACGGAACTACTCTTACGCATACTGTAGTAACCGTGATTTTACAACGCCAGAACTACCACACTACAACACTGTCCCACAACCGTACCACCGTATTCCTACATCGAGGATGCTATTACTACTGTGCCCGAGCTCTACAGTACCGCACTACTTCTACTACAATGCGGCAGTTCGGCTGCTACAGCAAATTCTAGACACTTGCTGCAAGACCTGAGTAGTACCACTGTAACTGCAGGGCTGCTACAGAACTGCCTATTCTCTAAGGCAATACTACTGTCTTAGCACGGTATCGCAGTACCACCAATACAATACTAGAGTGCCACTACTGCAGTACTACGGCTACAGCATTGTATTACGACAGTTACAGTGTAACCACTACAGCACTACAGTACTATACTAGTACAGCGATGCTGCGATATTACAGCATTGGGGTATTCCAGCGGCAGTGCAATACTACACTCGCTGCAGGACGTAATCGAGTACCACTCATACGAACACTGAACTAGGGCACTGCTTCTACAATGCCACTGCTATAGCAATACAACGCCACCACCTGATACTACAACGACATCCTACAACGTTACCGCTAAAACACTCGAGTCCGAGGATGTTACAACTGTGCCCGGGCAATACAATAGTGGACTACTTCTACTGCATTACGACAATGAGACTACTAATCCGTCCCCAATCCCTGCGCGAATCACCGAACCATTGTGCACAAACTGAGCCATCACGGAATGCGGCTGTAACGCAATGCGATTGCACTGCCACGCAGGGTAATGCGATTGCGACGCATTGCAATGCGACGTCTATGCAATGCGACTGAAAAGGGTGACGGGAGGGAGGAAGGGGGGGGCAGAAGGTGAGGGGAGAAGGGGAGGATGTGATATGGGGGGGAGGATGGGAGAGGGGGAGGAGGGGGGGGCAACACCATAATATATATATATATATATATATGTATATATATATATATATCATTTTTTTCGCGCCTCCCGCCCCAAGTTGCAAACCATTCCTCTTCGGCCACGACTGTGCAAAATCACGACGCAATCGGAAACGCAACGCACGTGGGCCGCGACAAACAGAATCGGAAACGATTCAAACAGAACCCCCCCCCTCCCCCACTCCAAACAAGAAAAAAACCGAAAGTCCCAACCACCATCAAAAACGAAACCGACCAGCAAACCAAAAACTCCAAACACGCAGGGGGGGGGGGGGGGGGGGAGATTCGGCCCCGCAACCCCTGTGGTGGTGGGTCCTCGTTTTGAAGAAGCAGTGCCCCGCGTTCCTTCCTTTCCTCCTCCCCCTCCTTCCTCCTTCCATCATCCCGCTGCCCCCCACCTCCTCCCACCTCTGCCTCTGCCCTCCGCAAATCCTCCTCGACTTCCTTCTCCTCCTCCTCCTCCTCTTCCTCCTCCTCCTCAGAATCATCACTATCACCACCACCACCATCACCATCACCATCATCATCATCATCATCATCATCATCATCATCATCATCATCACCATCACCATCATCATCATCAGCAGCAGCAGCACCATAATAATCACCATCGCCATCCTCCTCATCATCGCCATCATCATCATCATCATCATCATCATCATCACCACCGTCACCATCATCAGCACCATCATACCCATAATCATCAATATACTCATCATAAATATCCCCATCATCCCCATCATCCTCATCATCATCCTCATCATTCTCATCATCCTCATCATCCTCATCATCTTCTCCCTCATCCTCATCCTGATCATCGTCAGCAGCGTCATCAACGTCAACATCATCGTCATCGTCATCATCAGCATCATCAGCATCAGCGGCATCACTCTAATGATAAAACAATACTTCATACAACTGTAAGCATCATCATCACTGTCATCATTGTCATCATTGACATCATCATCGCTATCACCATCACCATCATCCACAGTATCACCATCGCCATCGTCAACATCATACCTCTGTTCTTCGCATGTGCACCACTTCGGCACATCCCTCACACGGTTCGTGGCTTCATATGAAGCTAAACCGAACGCCCCGATGGCTGTGTTCACATGCGTCCCGCGCCCATGTCGGCACATCCCTCACACCGTTCGTGGCCCCATATGGAGCTCCACACATGCGTCCCGCGCCCATTTCGGCACACCCCTCACACGGTTCGTAGCCCAATAGGGAGATGCACCGAAAGCCTCACTGGCTGCGTTATGTGCGTCCTTCTCCCACTTCGGCACACCCCTCACACGGTTCGTGGCCCCATGGGGAGCTCCACCGAAAACCACAATGGCTGCCTTCACATGCGTCCCGCGCCCATCTCGGCACACCCCTCACACGGTTCGTGGCCACATAGGGAGCTCCACCGAAGGCCCCAATGGCTGCATTCACAGGCGTCCCGCGCCCACTTC